GAAGTCCTTAAGAAGCTTCTACCCTCGGTTCAGTATCTCCGTTTAGACGGCAGTGTAGAAGCCACCAAGCGCCAGGACATTGTCAACCGATTCAATACAGATCCCAGTTACGATGCCTTGCTTCTGACGACTAGCGTTGGTGGACTTGGTCTGAACCTGACAGGTGCCGACACAGTCATTTTCGTCGAGCATGACTGGAACCCGCAGAAGGATATCCAGGCCATGGACCGTGCGCATCGTATCGGCCAGAAGAAGGTCGTTAATGTCTACCGATTGATCACCAGGGGTACTTTGGAGGAAAAGATTCTGAAGTAAGTTCTCTTCCGTTTTTAAAGTTTTCATGAAACCACGACACATACTAACTTGTCTACCCCAGCCTCCAACGCTTCAAGATCGACGTGGCATCGACGGTGGTCAACCAACAAAACGCAGGCCTAAACACAATGGACACAGACCAGCTCCTGGACCTATTCAACCTCGGAGAAACAGCCGAGAATGCCGAGAAGCCCAGCGACAATGCTGCGGGCAACGAAGTTGACATGGTTGACATCGACGGCGAAGTCAAAGAAAAGGGCAAGAAGGGCTGGCTCGACGACCTCGGCGAGCTCTGGGATGACCGTCAATACCAAGAAGAATACAACCTGGACTCATTCCTGCAGACGATGAAAGGATGATAGATGAATCATTCCCAAACATCAGTTTCCCTAAACAAAACTTGTTGTGCCACTGGTGGACTGGAGTTCTCAGGCTCGTTCTTATCGAACTTCGCAGATAAGATACCTCAGCTGCAAAAGAGCATCCGCCAGTCATGCTCTTATTATTTCCTGCCTTATCCCCGTTTCCACCCCTCTTCTTTTCACCTTCTGATCCTATCTTATTACTAGACGACTGATTGAACCCGGCTGGGCGTTAATTAATGTTGTACATCCATCACTCAGATTCTCTCCTCTTTCCCCCCTTGTTTTCATACGAACTGTATCCCAGGAGTTGGGCGGCGATCTGTTTGTTTTCGAATTTCTTACTTTTATCTTAATGATTCATTGAATCATTGATTGAACGAATGACTCGGTGCTTACGAAGACGAAATCAAGGATAGACATGGAGGGGAATTTATCTTTCTTGTTTTATTCCCTTCCGTGGTGTTTTTTTTTATTATCCTTTTCTTTTCTTTTCCTGCTGTACTTTTACTACTGCACTTGTGTACATATTGACAAGCGGTTGTTCATATCATTCGATCCTATTACTTTGATGCATTATTTGGTCCGTTGAGGACAGATCTATTAGTCTACTTGAACGGTATCGTAGGGTATTTATCTATTGTAATGGCTAAGGAGATGTCGGTTTATTATATGGTGTAATTGATTCATTGGAATGATCATATACACTGACAATGTAGAGTGAAACAAGATAGGAAACAAAATCATTGAAACCATTTGTAGGTACGTTCATTATTTCAACAAAGTATCAACCGATCAACCAACAATCGCCGTAAGGTATGAAGACCTAGGCAAAACAAAAAGAAGATCACAAAACGCCGTCCAGAACCTGCATACCGGATGCCTCCGAACGCCTGCATGTGACAAGAATCAAAGACCCACTGATAGGTAGATGGGTGAAAAAGAGACCAGACCCAAAAGGAGAGAAATATCAGATCCGATGAAACAAGTAAATACAATGACTGATCGGTGATTTGGTATAATCTACGTAAAAAAGGAACAGAGGATATTCATCTGGGGAATTTGAAAGAAAGTTCTCGACGTCGAAATGGCATCTATGTGCGACCCAAACTCTCGTAAAATGCAATAACTGGTCGTGGCAGTTCCAAATGGTTCGTCATGGTGGACAAGGAACGATTAAGAGCGGTTCTTTGGCTGGGCAAGCGCGTTCAGCCGGCTCATGGTCAGCGCATTACGGCTCTTCTGTCGTGAGCTGGCCGGGGTTCCCGTTCGACTAGCACTTGTGGTCGACCGGAGAGGAGTGTGTGAACGCGCCTTGGTGGGGCTAGATGTTGGCATCTTCGATGGGGAGAACTTGAATGGGGAGAGCTTCGATGGGGAGCTCAGCTTGACTCTCTTTGCACTGCGGTTTTCTGCGGCGGTATCGGCTGGCGGCACATTCTCGGTGTCAGCATCTCTGCCAGCTGCATCTCGGTGTCTTTTCTTGTTGCCGATGCCATGAGGCACGCCTGGAACATCGGGAAGAGAAGGGTCGTGAGCGGCCTCGGTTTCGCGGTGTCGCTTCTTGCTGCCGATTCCATGTGGAACGCCGGGGATATCCGGTAGGGACAGATTGGTAGGGGCGTCTGATTGACGGACATGGCGGATGGTGGGCGACTTAGTCTCGCTATCGGACTTCTTTGCACCATGTTCCGGTGTCAAAGCTGGCAAAGTGGGATAAACAACATCAGATACAATCCGGGACGGAGAGCCAGCGGTGAATTTGGAGGGAGAAGGAGATGGCAGAGCTTCATCATCCTGCAATCTAGTACTGGAGGAGAACCCAACGCGCTTCTTAGGTGATGGGGTCAGTGCAGGCTCCTCCGAAGCATCGCGGGTTGCGCCCAACAGGAATTTGGAACTGAATTCGGGGGCTGCCACATGTGTTCCTGCTGCGATCTTCGCAGGATCTTTCGAAAACATAGGTTGATGGGGACGAAGGATCGACTTCAAGTTCAATTGGGGCAAGCCACTCTTGAATCGAGGGTTGAAGTCCGTGCGGGGCGTGCGCGGGGTAGTCGACTGCCTCGTGGTAGGGGAATGTGCAAGAGATGGTCGAGGGAGCATGCTTGTCCGAGGGGGTTTGAGACTGGTGGACGAAGTGCGCGCCATGGAGGCTCGAGTGGGAGTCATCAAAGAACTGCGGATAGCGGCGGGCCTCGTGCGAGTCACGGCTGGCTTTGAAGCGCTCTTCTCACCAACAGTCTGACGGCGAATGGAGCGAGTGGAGGTGTCATCACCCTTATTATGTTTGACGCGCTTGGCACCAACTGTAGTAGGGACAGGCGATTGAGTCGTCGATTTGGTGGGCGAATTCTGGTTGGACTCATCCAGCCGTGCCTTGGAGTTGGTCCGCTTGAGGGTCTTTTGGACAGGCTGGAAGCGACCGGGAGTGGCACGGAAGGCAGACGCGTGCCCAGCAATTGAATCCATCTTCTTGAATTCAGCCATATGAGCAGCGCTGAATCGGCTAGCCTGGCCCTTTGGTTCGGCGATCCTGCGACTTTCTGCCTGGTCGTTGCTATCCTGGGCGGGTTGACTCTCCTTCTCCTGGACCATCTGAGCTTTGATTCTAGCAACGTCCTCGCGCACGCTCTCCATGAGCTTCTTGGCTTCATCGCTTAGCTGAGAGTCGGCGGAAGAAAACTTGAACTCGAAGGCGGGCGTGCCGTAGTATGTCGAAGCGGGCGACGCCTTTGTCTTGCTTGGGGTAGTTTCGACCAAAGAATCTTTCATCACGTTCCCTTCGGCATCTTTCTTAATCGGGTTGAAACCCAGGATCAGGCCCGAGTCCGCCTGCTTGGTGGTGCTTTGGTGGACCTTGCTGGGATGCATCTCTTGGTGGGATGGACGAGTGACTGCACTGGTGGGTGTTTTCGACGGGGTTTGCTTGGGAGCAGGAGTAGCTTTGTGTGGGGTGAGAACATTGGTTGTGGACTTCGGGGTGGTAGTGGTGGTGTGGTTGGAGGGAACGTCGACGGGAGTTTCGTCGCGTTCCATGACGGAGGGGAGTTTGTTGTTATTGTTGTTGTTGACGGTGGCAGGTGACTCGGGCGGCTGTGGTTCCTTCAGTCAGGAACCAAAGTCAGCTGTCTGGTACTTTACGAGAGCAGATACAAGGGCAACAACATGGGCAAGTGAATGAATGAATGAATGAATGAATTGGAATCAACAGTCGATGGGGTTTGTGGGCGACTTACATTCGAAGCCTGGCGATTACGCAGGCGGGCGGACCGACGAACCGCCATGATGATGGGACGTGAGCGGTGGAAATTGAATTCACGAAATGATGGAAGAAGCTCGCAGTGGAATGATGGAATTAGTGGCAAGGGTGACGAAGGGATGAAAAAGAAAGGGAACGAAGGGCGAGCGTCGCCCGATTAGGCGAGAATGTAAACAAATATTGCCGGGCGGTGAGCTGACGTCAGTGGAGAGAGCATCTGATGTCAGATGCCCTGATCTGACCCTCGTGTAGCTTGGACTTTTTCCACCGAATCCTCTGAAACCTCTAGAGTACGTACGGATCTGGCTCAAAAAATTGTTAGTTTCATACCTGCGTTAAGAAGACATGCCCTTATGACTGCCGAGTCAGCACCCTATATTTATCCTGTACCGTCAGCATGCCTGACGATTGGACCCAAATACCCACACTAGCCTCGAACTAGGGAACATAGTATCTCCAACATACCAACATGTATGACAGGTTCCAAGGGGTCCGCAGAGCATATTACTTGCAGATAAAGTAGGTAAAAGATGTCCTCAGAGCTGCAGGGGGCCAAGTTAGACATTCCTGGTTAAGCAGGACGATCAATCATTTCCTTCTTTCCCCGGCCCCCAAATTGCGTTCCTTACGCCCCCACTCTGTAGCTCTGCATTCCCAAGTCATCGTTGATCCTCGTATACTAGAGTAGATACATGTTACTCCGGTAACATGGGGCTTAGTACGTAAGATAGCTTGGATGAGCCTCTGAAGAGACCTAGCGAGAGCTTCTCATCTGGTCATGGAGCAAAGAGAAGACCAATACGCTTTTGAGGACCAATTCACATATCTTTCTAGAACCCCGCGCAAGGCTAATCATAATAGTAGTAGGCTGATTTCTACATGCGCACATCATTATTGAATACTCGGGCATTGTTCAGTCCAAAGTTTTCATTAATTGGCTAGCTATTCATGAGCGTACGCATGATTCAAACCCGAAACAACAAAACAACAATAATATCAACCACCATGCACGTATGACATCCCTACATCCTACTTTTCCCCTAGGCAACTATCTACCTCAATTACAAGATCACAACGACCTTCCTTGCCGAGATGCCCTGCTGAGACAAAGAAACACCCTCAGGGATCTTCTCCAAGCCCTCCCCAACCACCAAGGGCTCAGGGACTGGCTTCAACGTCCCATCCTTCAACGCCTCAGGGATAAACTTGCCCCAAATACCCTCTGAGATCTCCTTATTATCAGAGATATTCGCAACATCAACGACTGTTCACACATATCAGTACACCTGACTCCCAGCATCATGATATCGGACATAGATGAAACTCACCACCAACAAGCTCCACTTCATCAGGAATATCCTTAATCGGCATAGGCAAGTTCGTAACCACACGTCCACCACCAAGTCCCTTGACCACGTCCGCACATCTCCTTATCGTCTCCTCCTCGCCAATCGCATCCAGGGCACCCACGAATTCCCCGGGGGTATCCCGGATAGCCCTAACCAGGTCCTGGATGATACTATCCTCGTGGTAATCCAGCACCTTGGCGACACCGAGACTCTGCACGAAAGAATGGTTCTTTGCAGACGCGGTGGCGATAACAGTTGCCCCCGATGCTACTGCCAGCTGAATCGTTGCGCTGCCGGTGCTCGATGAGCCGCCCCAAACGAGGATAATTTTGTTGATGGGTTTTAGTGTGGGGATTTGGGGTAAGGGGAGCTCAAGCCGGCCAGCTGGATAGAGGCCCATTGCCGCCGTTGATAGGGCTAGGGGGAGGACACACCCGCTTTCGAAGGACATGGTGTCCGGAAGGGGGGCGGCGAGGGTAGCTTTACAGATCGTGTAGTTTTGAAACCCGGAGTCTCTGATTTCGTTGGTAAGGAACCAGTTGGCTCCCCTATGAGGAGTTTAGTTTAGCCCTTCGGTGGTTTGTGAAGTGAGGTGGGTGTGTTCCTACCCCATTACTCGGTCTCCCTTTTTGAAGGTGGTTACATCTTGGCCCACTTCGTAGATTTCTCCAGCGATGTCGGCACCGAGGATCTGTTTGGGCATGCTGTTAGCTACTATTCTCGAGGGAGAAGGGATATGCTTACAAAGGGATACTTTTTGGGAAAAGGTAAGTGCGGTCCATAGACTTGGATCTTCCAGTCCACTGAGAGTATTCGGTTAACAACCTCCCATGAAAGCATGAAGAGAGGCAGCATGTGTGAACTCACTGGGATTGACCGCGACAGCTTTGTTCTTGATTAGAACTTCATCAGGGCCGGGGGTAGGCAATGGAGCTTCTTTGACCACGAACTGTCCGCCCGCTTCCAAAAGCCAGACCGCAGAGTTGGAGGCCGACATGGCTGTAAGAAGGATGTATACTGGGAGAACTTTGAGCGAATATAAGCTTGAGTAGATCGTGTTGATTGTGATTGTGTTGTGTTAAAAGAGGCTATTTTCTTGCTGAGGCTGGTCTCTAATTTATACCCATCTTTTCCAATCATTAGAAGTCCCACCATCCTGTCGGTGTTAACGGAACAGTCCCAGCGATCTCGAGGCCGAACTCCCATCAAAGATACTGGAGAGTGATAGAAAATGGAGTATGATGGACATGTGGGGGCCATAGGAAAATACGAGCCAGGGTTAGACTGTTAGAAACTGTCGTTTAACTGCGGTTTCCGTCTTAACTCCAATCTCCGAAGGGACAAACATCGAGCAGCGTCAAAGACTCAAAAGTATCTATTAGAAATCGAGAAACTGCTTGTTTCTATTGCCTTCTCCACGGAACTCGGAAAAGCCGTTATTTTGCATAAAATTACATGGCTATGATATGGTCCTGGTATCACGATATTATTGCTCCGTTCGTATATTCTTGACTTTTGTGCACAGATGATCGATCGATTATACTAGCTCTACTTGACTCTCATTATAATCCAAATGGATAAGTCTCCTCCTTTCCTCGTGGCGTCACCGGCTCATGCTTTTCCAGTGGCTTCACAGCCTGTGTTTCATCGAACCAGACATACCCGTCAAACTGATTGAGCAGGTCTGCCGCCGAATAGTGGGATATCTTCTCTGTATCTGGCCGGTAAATCACACCAATAAATCGCTCAAGCCGGAGAGGCTCGGCTTCGAACGCAGCTGCCAGGTTGGGATCGATGCGGTCCCGCCGCAGATCGATTAAGAAACTTGGGATTCCTGTGTTGTGGGCGACACGTTCCCAGCTATCCTTCCGCGAGGGCCGGACATCCATGACCTCCATGTCTTCATCCCATTCGTGTGCTGCTGCCACCGTGCCGGTGTGCGTGCCACAGCCAATCAAGGCTACATTCTCACGGCCGAACTGCTCACGGCATAGCTGGCCGATATTCACTTCTTTGCGCCGGGTCCCCATACTAGTGTATCGTGCGTCTCCGCAGTGAGAATTGTGCGCCCACACCACGGCTTTCGTTCCTTCGGGCTTATGACGCAGTGTTCTACGGAGAGTATCCACCATGTGTGTATCGCGCAGTGTCCACGACGACGCCGAGCTGTAATACATAGCCTTATAGTAGCGCTCCGCGTCGCGCACCAGATACGCATTTTGCTCACTGCTATGGTACTCCTCGCCATCATGGCGGTCTTCGGAATACTCTAGTCGCCGTTGTAGCAAGTCGCGGAGCGTGTCTAGCACCCCCTTCTCACAATTCTCCATTCCGCGCACGGAAGCGAGCCCGTACATTGCGGGATCATCTACCCATGGCTGCAAACAGCCGTATCGCTGACGGGCAACTTTACCGGCAGCTGGGTCAACACGGTCGAGGTAGTCAATCACTGCCCGGATCGAGGCCCCCAGACTGTATATATCGAGACCGTAGAACCCGGCTTTCTTGCTGTCTGGCACTTGCACATTGTAATCGCGCATCCATTCGACCAGCTCCTGCATCTCACGGTTGCGCCACATCCACGTGGGGAACCGAGTAAAGGGATCAATTGGTTTTGAGTGACCCCCGATCTTTGTCTTGGGGCCTGGACGCTGACGCACGTAACGGTCGATTACTTCAGCGTCGGGCCAATCGGCCTCTACGGCTACCATGGTGAAGCCATGGTGCTCGATTAAACGCTTGGTGATCTCTGCCCGCGCGGTGTAGAATTCCGAGGTGCCATGGCTGCCATCGCCCAGAAGGACAAGGCGATAATCCGCGAAACTGTCGAAGTTCGAGCTGAAGCCGGGATCTTTAATGTCTGGCAAGGGTCGGGCTGCCGCTGTGAATAGTTCCTGGAGTTGTGACATAGTATGAACCTGCTTAAACAGTCGCATAAAATTCCACAATTTGCGATTCATGTATCAATGTTGAATACATTATGGCTCAAGGTTATCGAAAACTATAGCGATGCGAATTTGATATAGAGTTCATTAAATTCTATTGTTGGGGCGAGCGGCAAATGAAATCACATGTCCGTCAATAGCAGTCATCATGACTTCACACCCTCTCCATATGCGCCTTCGCAGCTGTCAAGCCAAACAGAATGAGCTTCAAATCTTTCCAGGTTAATGTAGGTCATGAAATTTCCCCACTGCATGTTCAGGAGACCCAATTACCCAGGAATTTTAACCAGAACCTACAATAGTCCACTATATTCCCGCGTTCGTAGGATCATGTCAGATGCATTCCCTGACGTCGTTTCTCGCCTAGAGCGTTTCCAGGAAGCCCAGGAGTCATTGTATGGCGACCTCCGCTCTATTACCAACCCCCAAGATTGGACTCCACCCCAGCAGTCTGGAGGCCATCGCGGTCGATACCTCTGGACAGATGCTTTCGGTGTGATCAACTTCATCACCCTACACCATGAGTATGAGAAAGCGTTGGCATCATCTGCCTCTGCGCCTGATGACCGATATTTGACGCTGGCACGTCGACTAGTCCAGACAGTACATGATGTGCTGGGGCGCACGCGGGATGGTCAAAGTCGCCTCCCCGGCGCAACAGACGACAATCCGATGGGCGGTGGACTGCGTATTGGTAAGTTAGAAGAGCATGGCTCAGACGGTGATGGCCAATACCATCACTATTTAACCATATGGATGTTCGCCCTCAACCGGTTATCGCTGGCAACAGGCGACCCAACGTACAATCGGCAGGCGATAGCTTTGGCCAGAGCAATTCACCCTCGGTTCTTCATCGGGCGCAATTTGCCACGGCCGCGGATGATATGGAAGATGTCGATGGATCTGTCCACAGCACTGGTGGCCTCGGAGGGTAACCTGGACCCGGTCGATGGCTTTGTAACATTCCGGCTGCTGCAGGCGGCAGCAATGCAGATGGGAGAGGGTGAGGTGCTGGCTAACGAGATCGCGGATTACAAGAAGGTGATGGAGAGAAAAGGAAAGCATTTTGTGACCAGTGATCCGTTGGATCTGGGGATGAGTCTGTGGACAGCACATTGGTTCGCAGAGAAGGAGGATTGGGCAACACAATTGTCCGGTCAATGCTTTGAACAAATTTGTATGTCTTCTATTCCCGTGTTGTTCCTTTCGTCATGCTTGGGAATAACATCAGACAGATGAGCTTTTTGAGATTGACCGGTACCTCGACCGCAGCCATAAATATCGCCTGGCTTTTCGGGAATTCGGGACTTGTATGGGCATCAAATGCATGTCAGAGCAGTCGTCCGAGAAAGAAAGCGCCGTCGATCTCAAGGTGTATGCCGACAAGATCCTGGACTCATGGAATATATACATGCAGAAATCACTCGCAACAAAAGTGACGCCGGATGATCTTCGCCCAATCACGCGGGTGATGTACGCATCGGCAGTGATACCAGGGGGTTAGTATATCAAACCCCGATGCTGCGGCACCTAAATAGGATCGGGACTGACCATAATCTGCAGCTTTTGCTCGCGGGTACTTAGGACCAGAGCCCATGCCCAGCCCAGAGAGATAACCAAACAAAGATCCTGAGCACCCAAAATGTACTTGGAAAACAAAAATATTCATGTGTATATTCTGCGTGTAGTACTCTACAATATGCATCATTGCGCCAGATACCGTGTATACTCGACAATATATGTCCCCGGTGGCAAATCGTATCAACGTCAAGTCAAGAAAACAATGAACACTCTATACGCCTGGAATGCCCACAACATCCCTCCAGGGGATGACCCGCCGAGGCAGAATGTAGATGGCATAAACGGTGCTTAGGGCGATCAGTAAGCCGGTCAACTGTCATGTATTAGTCAACCCTCGAGGAAAAGGTGTTTCGGCCAAATATAGATGTCAAAGGGGCGAAATACCTTCTCAAACCACGTATGGAACCAGATAGCAGTCATCAACAACATCCACCAACTCAGGCCCGTAACTGCGCCCACAAACCATACAGACCACTTCCTCGGCCCACTCAATTCGCGGTCGGCGTCCTCCGACTTTTTGCTTCCCTGGTCGATATCCGAAGCGCCCCTCCATGCTCCAATTGTCTCAAATGCAAGCATCGCAGTCGCAAGGACTAGCATGAACACATGGCCACTTACATCATGGCCGCCTCTCCATGCTCCACCGGCGGACTTGCACGCTGTAGCCGTCAACAGTGTGTGGAGTGAGGCAGAACCCTCTTCAGCCTGCGGGATGACCTGCTCACACTTCCCACCCGAAATCACAAAACTGCGATCGATTATTGCCGGACCAAAAAACCATTGTGTAGTCAGGTACCAAGCTAGGGTAGCCAGAGAATAACGAGCGAGCGCTTGACCGATCCGCCGCGGTTGTTGACTAGAAGAGGTCGTGTATGGGAGTTGAGAAAATAGAAGGGAAGCGAAAGCCGCAGTAACCCAAAGCCAGCCAACCTTCACAAAATATACATTAAAGACATTGTCCTTGCGGGCGAAGTAATTGACGGGGTGTTGGGGGAGGTTCACATCGGCGGCGATTGAAGGGGCTAGAGGAGTTGGATGGTTGGAGGGAGGATCTCGAGTGCCCTGTGCTGTCGGGGAGAGAACGGAAAATAGTGATCCTATAATTAGAGTAATAGGATAGACAAGCAGGGCTGCCGTAGGTGGTTGGTATAGCCGCGGTATTGTCGTGGAAGGGGATTTGTCTGGTGACGCCATGTTTTTTTTTTTTCCACCTGCGTATTTTCTTCAGTTTTCGATCTCCTTTCTCAGCCTTCCACGTTGCCTCCGTCAAGTTACCTGACAATGGTAGATAAGACGGCTTATGTGATAAAGTCAAATGAAATTCAGGATTCACGCAATTGAGTGAGAAGTCGTGTAGGTGAAGAGTCGGGAAGCCGACGTGGTGACTCGGCGGAAACGGAGGAAACGCGGCAATACGTAGTAAAGATTAAATGGTTTATTTAGCCTCGGAGACGGAGGGATGACGTCGATGAAACGCATGTGCCCATCGCCAGTCTAATTTGATTATGTACTCAGTAGCTTCACCACATTCGCCACCATCATTACTCCGTAGTTGAAGAACGTATTTAATTACTCCTAGCAATCCTGGTGGTAAATAAAGTGAGAACGATTTTTAACTTGGATTTCTTGATCGACTCAGTGAGTCAACACTAGCCCAACACTTGACTCCAACAAATAGAATTAACCCTACGAAGTATTATCCTACCCTAGGTCATTCATAAACATGTACATCATAACTCTGGAAATTCTCTGTACAATCCGAGATTGCCCCTTACCGAGCCTTAGGCAGCGAGGCCTGAAGCGGCAGTTTCCGTGAGGAGTTTCCAACGTAGATCGTCTTGGGGTAAGGAGTGACGGTCCAGTCCTGCGCCGAAACGTCCCAGTTGGCAAGGTCACGACGGGTAAGGGTGGTTGTCCACACGACCTCCTGCGAGGGAGCCAAGTGAATACGCTCAAACTTGCGCAGCACCACCTTAGGCTCATTCGGGCCACCTAGGGAAACGTACTGTACGGAAGAAGTCAGCATTGATAATCATCACACCTCATCCAATCAGGTCAACTTACCAGCTGAGGAACTTCATCACCGGCGACTTTGCCTGTGTTCTTAACCTTCACAGAGACGCGGAAAAGATCCTCGTACAGACCAGGATTTCCTCCGGCACCACCGCTAGCGGGCAAACGGGGCTGAGCAGACCCATCCGTGGCGCCTTCCGGAATATATTTGGAATCTTCCCAGCCGTAGTTAGAATCGTCAGACGATGCCTTCAGGTCGGTAGAGTTAATCCAGGGATAGATAAACTCATGGATCCTCTCCAGCCCCTCCGGATACACGTACTCCGACGCATCGCCAGTTTCACCAAAGTTCTTTGCAGCTTCAGTCATGCCACTGGTGGGAGTGTATTGAGACGCGTTCAGGGGTTGAACATGGAGGTCAGAGAGTTCGAAGGTGGTGTAGCTCAAGCCGTAGCCAAACTCATAGATAGGGGTCTCATTGAACTTATCGAAATGGCGGTAATCGATGAAAACACCCTGGGTGAAATCAGACTGGGGCGCCCCGTTACCATTGTTGGCCTCATTGACCAAGGGAGAACCATACGATTCCCGGGTCTTGCCCCAAGTGAAAGGAGACTTGGCGCCAGGGTTGACACGACCGTACAAGACATCGGCAATGGAGTTACCAGACTCCTGGCCTGGCAAACCAGCCCAGAGAATACCGGTGACATTGGGGTGATCATACCATTCATTGATCAAGACTGGTCCGACAGAGTGGATGATGACAACAGTATTGTTGCAGTTATTCGCCGCGGTCTTGACCACATTGTCACCGTTCTTCCACAAAGTGATGTTGTTGCGATCGCCCTCATTTCCATCCACGCTAAGGAAGCCTTCTCCTGAGTCGGAATTGACGAACACGAGAGACACACTGGCCTGGCGGGCAGCTGCAGCGATCTTGTCGAGCGCCCAGCTGTCGGTCACGGCGAAGACATTACCACGGCCCTGAAGAACTTCGTTCTGAATCGCCTGCTCCGGTGTCACGAGGTATGGGAAATTCGCAGTACCGCTACCCCAAGCCATGGCAAGGGTACCGTTATCGCATCCACGGTCATCACAGCCGTTAGCGCCCCACGGGTTGGAACCCGCATCCTCCCCCAGAAGGGCGACCAGCTTTTCCTTGCGGCTCAAAGGCAAGGCACCCTTGTTCTTCAGCAGAACAGTGCTCTCCGCGCCGATGCGACGGATCAGGTCAGCATGATCGCGTTGCACGTCCACAAATTCGTTGACCCTCTCGTAAGCACCTTCCGAAACATGGTTGTGCGCGAAACCATATTCGTCTCTGGTCCACGAGCTGAAGTTGGGAGGAGTATACTTGGTGTCGCGGCCAACCTTGTAATAAGCGGCCATGATACGGACGGCCATGTCATCAACGCGCCATTGGGGGATTGTACCGTTAAGGACACCGATCGTCAAGTTTGCACCCCAGAAAGACGTGCCACTATCGAAGGTAACATCACCGGGCATCGACATATCCATACCTGCCAAAGCGGCGCCTACACCGCTGTGATGAGCGGTCCAATCACTCATGACAAAGCCTTGGAAACCAAGTTCCGCCTTCAAAAGCTTGTTCAAAGTTTCGCTATTCTCGCAACCGTAGCTGTTGTTGATTTGGTTGTAAGAGCACATGACAGCACCGACTCCAGCGCGTACTGCATCCGCGAAGGGCCAGAGGTACAATTCATGAATAGTTTTGTCATCAACGTTGGAGCTCAGACTGTCGCTGACGTTGAACCCGTAACCTGCAGCCTCGGGTTGTTGGCGGAAATGCTCTTGTTCGTTCAGGATATAATGCTTAGCTGTCGCAATGACACCAGCATCTTGAATGCCCTTAATCGTCTCTGCAAACAGTACACCGGTGAGGGCGGGATCTGGTGAGAAACCTTCCCAATTTCTACCGCCGTCCGGGTGAGCACCGAGAGGGCCAGCAGCAGGACCCAGCTGAACGTCAATGCCCTTGTCACTGAACTCTTCACCCATTGCCTGACCGCGGAGGTAAGCGAGCGTCTTGTCCCAAGTGGCAGCGACATTAACTCCGGCAGGGAAAGCTGAATTGTAGTCCGCTGCGCGTTTACTGTCAGCAACATGTTAGGAAGGAAGGGGGAATCAAGAGCCACGCGTACAGAAACGAATACCAAGAGGGCTATCCTGCAAGCACAGGCTGGGGATGTTGAGTCTATATTCACGACAATCAGCCTTCCATAAAAGTATAACGTCACGTTGAAAATCTACTTACCTGGGAACACTACCAGTTTGTCCAACACATCTCTCTAGCTGCCATCTGAAGTACGTTAGCTAATGGAGTTCCGGACATGCTACAGTATCACAAGCTTACCCCGTTCCAGTCGTTAAGTTGACTTTCTCTGTCAACGTCATCTGGGAAACTATTTCCACAGCGCGTTTGTATACTTCCGCCCATTCACCCTGGCCGTCTGCCCATGGGGAAGGGTAGAAAGGAGGGGAGTACGCGAGATCATCCTATTCAGGGTGAAAACTGTTAGAAAGCTGATTCAATTGAATCGGATAGCACCGTATAGAATAGTGAAGCATACCTGGGCACTGACTACTGAGGCAGCCGCCAATGCGGCCACCTCGAACCAACCAAGCTTCATGATAACGTGGGAGGTAACCAGCAGAGCAGGAAATGAACACCTGGTCACCACACAGTGCTCACCAAGAGTGATTGTTGAATGAGGGAAAACTGCCAACAATGGAGGGGAGAAAGGTGATATAAATAACAACCGACATGGAAACGAGGGATCAACCGACGCCACCAACGATGGGTAACTTAAGTACAGCGCATGATGTATTCCTTGCTTGCTGTCTCGGCATCGGTACCCACTGGCTGTACCAGCCCAAGCTGTCACGCATGCAGAGGGGGAAAAGGGAGACCCGCTGTTTGCTCGGTGATCGGCGTGGGTGTACCAGATGGAGCGACGCGAGTGGAACAAATTCCATCAATAAATGCGAGATGCGGGAGGAGCTATAATGGATCCTTTCTAAAGGCAAAAAGGGAAAATTAGACAGAGAACCAATAAACATTACACGGAGTAAAAAGCAATGACGATCCGATTCGTTACCTGTAGACTAACGGCGAACTCGGTCCAGCAACCTTCTCTTTGTTAGGGTACTGTGTTGTCAGTCAGTGCACATTGTTGCTCGGCATGCTGAGCCATGGCTTGAGAAAGGTCCATCAGGTGGCCTGGTGAGCAGGTTGGAAAGGAATTTTCCCCGCAACAACAACAACCCTGGCGCGCGTTGATTTGTTGCCTTTCGGTACCGGAAAAGAAAAAGAAAACTGGGGGAACCTTTAGAACAACAAAGGGACCATCAGGTACTACGGGGGGAAAACTGGGGACACTAGTGCCCTTCAGGGGTAGTTCCTTGGTAATCGGATTACAAAACCGATGTCCTATCATGCCTTCTCAGTACAGTACATACAGTAGGCCCTGTTGAGTTTACTACATTCTTCGGGAAAGTAAAGTTTAAGACATGAATTCTTTACAGTATATTTCGTATCTTATCTTCCAGCTCCTTATAAAGATTGTGCATATTCCTACTTCTTCAGTATTCAAGCAATTCATTCCCAGGGAGCTGAGACACAACAAGGTATGCTCCTGTGGGACACGAACTGGATAGATACAGTACCTCTGTACCATACCGACAGTACCTGGCGAGCTGATCCATACATATTACCCGTAGCCCTTCCGTACGCAATATCCATTCCGGGAAAGAAATAGGCCTTAGGCGGCCATGAAACTAGTCAGGATTCAGGAAAGTACCAATGGACATTACACCACTACTAGTTAGTATTCTCATGGCAAAGGTGAATGAGGTAGAGAAATAAAGAAAAAAGAAAGTTGAAAAATCTCGTTGGTTCCACCATGCCGTGATCTTGATGACGAGACTAACATCACAAGTGCCGCATTTGTCCACACAAATGCATGGGTGATGTTACCGTATCACTGCGAGACCAGCCTCCCCCGCATCTTCCAATCTTTAGAGGGGCTTGCTGGGAATGATGGGCTCACCCTTCTTGAATAATTCTGGGTCCCAGGGATCTTGGTCTCTATCCTTCCTGCCTTCTGTCTCCTATGTCGCAGATTCCCTTTGGCAGGGAGCAAGGGATGTAACAGGCACGTGCTCTGTAAAGTGATTCTAGATCTACCCTATTTCTATACATTATAAATCATTCCGTGGCTGGAACGATTGGTCGCAAAGAAAGAAATTAAAAAAAAAAAAAAAAAAAAAAGCGAAAAGACGGCATCGATCGATTGTGACCATGCACTCGGAGTGGAGTCTAGTAGTTACTTTCATCGTTGATCGCTCTCCATTATTTCCTGATTCAGGTTGTCGTCGGCACAGACACCGACATCATTTTATCCATTTTAGCAGCCGATGGGCTCAAACCCTTTCCACGGATCATACTATCCATCGGCATGGCTCGTGTCGTTCATGCTCCAGACAGAGCTAGCATGGGTGTGCCTTCTATGCGGTTGCAATGTGGTCCCTACGACATCCCCGGAAGATCTTGCAGAGTCTTTGCGATCTTCATACCAATGATGAACTCTGTTTCCGTCTACAGTAGAGATCGCTTGCCACATGGCTGTCAGTTTCACCTTAATCCCAACTCTGAGGTACGGAGTAAAAGCTCGTAGAACAATCGAGGATCGGTACCGGGGCACGGACGGCCTCACTTCTCCGTCGGTGTGTACTGTGTAGTAAAAAGTATGTTCCCGGAAATGGTCCGAAATGCGAAGATTCGGGGTTGTACGGAATCCACAATTACTCCGTGGGGCGTTTGAGGTGAAAAGACTCAAAAGACTCAAAGGACTCTCGGGATTCCTCACGCTCATTCCGACAATCTCATTCTTTGCTGGCATCAAAATTACCACCGGTACTAATGAGGGTCTTGAGTGTGGGGCAACATGGCCAGAAGGCACGTATTGCTTTTCTTCCCCAGCAAAGAGTTCCTCACTGCACCACAAATTGTTTAACAAACCTTCTTAGTATTCTCATATCAAAGTACCAATACCATATACTATTACCGCGCAAAGTGAGCGTACTAGCAAGAATCTCGGTCTGAGGCCACTCCGCACATAGCAGCAATACTCAATTACATTACACAGCATTAACCGGGATGTGCTATTTAGCCTGTTTACAATTCATTTAATGCACTGCGGAGTGCATAGTGTACACTGTACATGCAAATAACCCCACTCAGTACGGAGTAGTATTTAATAAATCTTCTCACTTTGGCCATCTACACAGCGTACGGCTTCAGAAGCCAAGGAACAAATAACAACTTGACGTCATTCTCACCACTCCACTGCCTGAACAAACAATACAAGCATGTCCTTTGTTCCTTAGACAAATGGGCCAGCCACTGGCTAGATCTTGGCAACCAGCAAGCAAATCCTGAACCGCTATTTAAAATTTAATAAGAGATATTCCCCACACGTCACGAAGACCGTGGGGTAAACGGAGTCTGGAGTACCTTCAACTGGCCGCAACTCCCGAAGCTACCGCAACTTTGCACGTTAGCAATCCGATGGCGCTCGGATTCCCGTGTCTTCTGCCGATGTTTAGCCATAAAGAAGGAAACTCTGCCTTTCTCTTCTATACATGGTAACCCATTGTGTCCTAATTTGACTTTTGAGTGATTTTTGTTTTTTGGTGCCTTTTGCAGTTGAGAGTTCAGATATAGAGTTTTGAGTATGAATATGGACCACATAGGGTGTTGGGCTGCTCCTATGTTGCATTCTGCCTTCACTGCTGCCTATGCAGGTGAGCTACGGGCACTTCGGCTCTGGGGAACGATACGCTACGCGGTGCTTCGGTATTGGTTGCATCCTCTCACTCTAACCGGAGTAGTATACTCGGTGTCGCCGGGCTCATGCATCTGCTGTCTTTCTGGAGGAAACCTGGGTTTACCGCTTGGGCTTAAACCCGCCCTATGATGCTCAATACGGCACTGTATCGGATCCAAGCCGGCTAACAGATTGGCAAGCGGTCGGTTTCATGTGACATCTTTCCTCTGATGCTTCAAAGTGTGCTGTTTTCATCCAGCTTGACATATCCTTTTTCCTAAGCGTGGTCTGTGAACAACAAATGTAAAACTGCGCGCAGTGAGATGGTCCCATTCTGGAAATATCACACGATCAGTATGCATAACGTGCTGAAAACCTGACAGTTTAGAGCGATTCGGCGTTGCCACTACAAGTATTCACTCTAAATTGCCATTTCAATCAGGAACTGCATGGACTGCCTGGTCAACAAACTCCTACTACATAGTCTTCTTAAAAGCCTAACATGGCAAATGCGAACCTGACGCAACTCCGAAATAGCAGTTAGCCAAACTAACTCGCAGCCTTCTACTATTTCACCCTCAAGAAGACCATGAAAAGAGAGGATAATAGCTGTTTATCCAAGCAATAAAGATATAAACGCAACACAAAGCACAATTGCATGATAGCAACATGGACTACGTAAACCACCCGAACGACCCAGAAAAGCAACTCCCAGTTCAATAACCTATCGCGTAATGTAAATTCCAAAGCTATTTCACACAGGAACTCAGGAACCCATGACCCGGTAAACAACCCACACAGTCGCTCTCCGGTTTCGGCGTCCCTTTCTCTCCAAACACACCTTCTCAGGGTCTTCTCGGCTTGAGGCCAATACCGATAGCTGATATAGTGTTGAGTTCCTAGTTCCAGTTCCGATCCCGATTCTTCTTTGCTAATGTCGGACCGTAGCATGATCAACAACATTAGACCCGGTAACGGCAAAATAGCCTAAGTGGCTACCTATTCATGCTAAATACCGGGTAAGGTAACGAGAGTTCCATGGGATTTCCCGAAAAAACATCAAGATGACCGCCTGGGTCGGTCGGTGGAACTGCGGTGAGTTGTCGGGTAATGGACATGTCATGGTTATAGCATGGTGGAATATAATCCCGGGTTCTTGCGAAAGGTAAGGGGCTAGGTTTTGCCATGAGTCTTAACGTAAGGGCTCTTTGAGGCTCCTTTCCTTTCTTGGTGCTTGTACTGTGAGTGCTTGCGTGTCAGTTTTTATGGTTTCTATGGAACCATGTTTTTGAGTTGAGTTACAGGGCAGGCCCTTGTTTGGTTCAATTGATCACACTGTTGAATTAAGTTTGGTTCTCGAAGGCATATACTGGTGAGAACCCATAAAAGCTAAGTACAAATTGCAGGAATCCCTCCCATGATAGTCGTCACAATCTGTTCACAATATATACGTCTGCCATACTCGTCAGAGATGGCAAGGCTTGTCGCTCCTCAGGCAACTTGTCAGAGCTTTGCATCTCGTGGTGCACCCAAAGAAGTGCCATTAAATGGGCTGATGTCTGGAATTGCATCCGGAAGATCAGAGTTCTCGCCATGCGCCAGTCTGAACAATGGTTCCCAGACGGTCACAGCACGCTTGGTGATATGTCCATTACCCATCTCTGGAAGATGATAATATATCAGTTTATCTGCAGAGCATTCCAGAAGTTCACCAGCTATGCCCGTTTTATCTTCTAAGAAGATTTGAACTGCATTGAGGACCGTCTTCATCGGAGTCCGGCTAAAGGTTTTTAGGTTAGCAACCGCTCGAATATGAACTATTGTGCAGCGTGTGAGGGAGAGATATAAAGCGATGAAACGACGTTTTGAATTGGCAAAACCTACCACTCCGGAGCCACGGCCTCAATCATCTCAGGGGGGACGATGGGTGTGGCAACAATACCCGGCAAGACACAGTTAATATGGATGTTATCCTTGGCCTTCAACATTGGCGCAACGCCACGAACAAACTGATTGACTGCTGCTTTGGTTCCACTGTATTCGGGATACGTCCTATGAGGAAAAATACCCCCGATACTGCCGGTCACCACAATCCTTCCGCCCGCCTCGGGCCTGTTGTGTCGCATAAAGTGCGTTGCTAATACAGTGCCATAGACGACACCTTTGAAATTTATATCAGTGCAGGAGAGGTCTGGCTCTGGAGGGACGTCCTCGACGCCTTTATCGCGCCGGTTAAGGAGATAAAGCGAAGACTGATCACCCACACCAGCGTTCGCGCACAGTGCATCAATTCTCCCCCATAACTGGAAGACCTTTTTGAAGACAGCAGCCTGGCTCTGATAGTCGCTGACATCTGCTTGGAAAAAACGTGCGTTCTCGCCCAGGCCCTCCACAAGATCGTTTCCGGCCTGGGTTCGTCGGCCAACACAGGCGACTTTCCATCCACGGGAATGCAGGTCCCTGGCAATATCGGCTCCAATACCAGACTGGCAGAAGACAGATGTGGAGTGAGTGTGTCTGTCATCCTTTATTGACTAAATGAAGTACTTACAGTCGCGCCTGTAACAATGGCAACTCGATTATTCTCTTCACTCATTTTCTTCGTAGGATATACGTGTGAGCGAACAAGAATTGGGAGAACCAGCGTTCAGACATTGTGCCACATGCTAAGAACCACTACTTTTAGTTTAGACTGTAAGCGCACACAAGTAGCTTCGGAGATATTAATTGATTGCTGGCTAGCCCATGCCTATTACCCGCAGTGGAGAAAGAGCCCTACGCGATGTGATTTAGTCTCTTTCCATAGCGGGTAATTAGGGGGGCGATGAAACATAGGAGGGGGGAAAGCTCAGACAAAGTACAAGAAATTATATAAGAAACGCTGCTATAGCCGCTATTCGGGACGGTAAATGTCACCCTCTTAGCAATGAAGTGGCTTGTGGGTCAAAGTTCTTCCCTACTGTTATAATGGGGGTCTTGTCAACCGTCGTCTGTCTAGCACTATAAACCGCTAACGACGGATGAACCAAAGTAGCACACCATGAACACTCTTGCTTCCTGGAATGTACAAGAAGATTGTCGGCTGGTTGGCGGGTCCTTTGCCACATGTCCCAGCATGTTTGATCAGTAGTTGAAATGGTGTATTCAGGTTCAGAGACGGCATCATTTGTTCTTGAGAGTATTATCAAGTCCATTGGTGAGTACAGGTCAGGCCACCGCGCTAAAATACCAAGCCACTTTCAACGGTGGTGAGCCGGGTGCGGACCTTGCGGTGCCTTAACCATCCACCATGAGTCAAGCCAAAAGTATATTCATTGGGGGACTCAATGCAATTCGCTCACGACATGCATCTCACAGTTTGTCCATGCATGCTTAGTTTGGTTCGAAAGGATGGTGCTCGGCGGGAAGTCCCTCGAGTCGGGATCCATAGATTTATGGACTAGTACTAAACAAGGATGGGTAACGTGACATCCATCCAGCGCAGGACAGAGTCGGTATGGCGGCGATGGAATCGCTGGGTACTCCGTATGCATATTCAACTCATCTTTTGTTCTTTGTGTTGATTTCTAGTTCGACCTTATTATGGGCCCCCAGTATTATCCTTACATCGAACTAATAAAGCAAACTAGATGATTGAACGCAACACCCTCGCCATTGAAGCACATACATATCACAAAGGAACGGTGGACATCGGTGTCCCCACACACCAGTAAAGTCTCCTTCCATAAATGTATAAATATATCATCGTTGGCTCTCATATTTGCTAGAGTCATAGGCTACTGGCTTGTTTGTTATGATGTATCCAATCACATACAAACAGAAGTATGAAGCTTACACCGATATTTCGCGCAGGAAACTTGACTTTAACATTGATATCAGTGGTTCAATAGCGGGGTTCCATTCCGAGCCAGGTTATCGCCATTTACATATAATAACGTAAATTAACATAGAAATTGTTGGTCCGAAACGGGTCTCTGATGGCAGTAATCTCAGGTTAGTATGATATGATATACTGCAATGTTGGTTCCTTTCACAATGGCAAACTAACATGTCTTAGGCCCTGGCCTGGTAAGAACACGCTGGAAGAAATTACGGAGTGCTGTGGAGTCCTAGTTGTCATAGACTCAATCTTGCAGGCGGCCATCATTGCACCCGTCGCAAGTCCAGTGATTTAACCAGTAGCTCTGCTCTTGGTGTGTCGACAGTGGCCGAGTTCCAATTGTGACAGTTAGCCCTCTGATCGAAATCCCGGCCCCTTGAAGGTGATGCATTTTGCCAAACAGCTTGCCAAAAGACGAAGAGGGGCTTGGAAATCTTGGGGTCTTGGCAGTGGCGTTCAATGAAAGCAAGCGCTTATGATATGGAGACGATGATATCCAAGAGATAGAAACTAGTCACCGCTAATCTCGTCTAGGACCTGGAATAAAATTTGGTTTTGTACTCTGCATCCTTCGTCAGTTGTAAGGCCATTACAGAAACCTGCCCAGAGCTTTTTCTGAATCTCTGCCATATCCAAGCCGCGTCTGTTATGTTGCTTGATCAGCTCTTCCGCAATCGCGCAGAGGGTCGTATTGAGAACATCATAACTAGTGGGGCTTGATCCCGCTGCTGTATCAGGAAGACAACCACATATAGACTGACGTTGATTGGATATTTGTTGATCCAAAGTCCCCTGAGGCTCAGTTTTTTGAGCGAGCTTTGTAGCGTTCTGGGAAACGTCTGTCTTTGATAGGTCTCCTAAATCCTCTGTGTGGGGTACTTCGGAATCCGTCTGGCACCTAGGTAATGAAGGCGGATTCCGACAATTCTTCTGTTGATTATGCATGGCCAGTGACTGTCTTAGGGCTGGAATGGCAACCTTCTGAGCCATGTTTGGGTCCTCAACTGCCTGGACATATTCTGCAATGGTTTCAGCAGGTAGCCCCAAGCGAGACAAAAGGAGTCTCAAGCCCCTGTTTTCAGCTTCCAGCTTCTGAATAGCCAATCTATGTTCAACATCTTTTTGATGGGCTTGTTCTTGGAGAGCCACCAGCTTTTGTTCCAAGCCGCGGGTATGCTCCTGTTTCCTAGCACGGCTCTTGCGTTGGTTTTCTCGAACTCGAGCAAGTTGATCAAGTTTCTAGCAAAGGGGTCAGACAACAACAACTCAGTTACTGACTGGGTGGCACTAGATCTCTGGGGCTTCAACCTTTTGATTGGCATTATCCATTACTTAGTTGATGCAGCTAAACTGTAATGTTGGACTAGATATCATACTTTTGAGGAACGGATATTACATTGCTGAATGGTTTAACAGACAGACAAGTCCAGGAGATTTTTACGGCAAAAAGCCCATACCCACACGTGACCAGCGGACGGGCTGAGTCGCAAATTAGCTTCAGGTCCACCCGACCGGAACGGTAGTTAAAATAAGATCTCCCTCGGCACATCATACCTTTGACCAGATCAAGGGAAGACACATCGGCTTGGTTAAAGCGATAAAATAATGAGCTATCACTGGGTCCAGTGGAGCAGCACATCATAATAGTGGTATTTTGCTGCAGCTTGCGGCGGACGGCCCCAATCAAGTGGAGATGAAGATGTCTAGATCGGGACAGGTCATGGCTGGTTTGAACCACAGTTCCCTCCGTCGAATGCGTAATAAATCCATAAGTCACTCGAGTTAACCATACCTCTTAAATGGGGATCGAATCGGAAGGAGAGGCGCCTTCTGCACAACGTCATTAGCCGTCAGTCGCTGCTTATTCATTCAAGACCAACAATGGTCGCACTGCTCCTTCCCTCCCCTTTCTCACCGATTCCTAGGACGGCTTCTGTCTCACGCTTTCTAGGCTTGTATTGATCGCAAACTCACTGTTCGGGCGGGTGTCACTCTCCAGTGTACTTATACACCGCGATTATCTTTCAGCTATGGTTTCTACGCGACACCATCCCCGCGACTTTCCGCCTCCATCAACGGGAAAGGCTTCCTCGCCGTCTAACAACAGCGATGGCGCCACGAATAGATGGGTCCACGCCCCATCGACTGCGATCATCGTTTGGCTCGTCGTGTCAGTTCCGCTAGTTATCTGGGGTGCAGGCTATGTGTTGCTCCGTCCGCATACCATGCCAGGCAACAAATTGCATTCCCCTATTTGGATACCTTATGCGCTGTATGGAACAATTGACTATATCTATGGATGGCCAGCATTCAATGCTCGAAACGGTTTCCCAGCAGCACTGACTGTATTGAACCTTGTGGAATGTGCCGGATACATCTATTACCTCTGGATTGTGTATAGCCACGGAGTCTCAGCGTCGGGCGGTCGCGGGCAGCGCAAAGCCAAAAAGGGGCTTATGTGGATGTTGAGGACCGAAAAGGTAGTCTCTGGACGAACTGGAGCCACTGCACTTCTAGTCGCGTACAGCGCATCTCTTGCGACTCTCAGCAAGACTGTCCTCTACTGTGAGTTGTGAAAAGAAGAGTTCCCTATATCGGATGGTTGTGCCTTGCTTACAAGGATCCCAGGCCTGAACGAGGTTTTCTCCGGCTTTGATAACATTGGACATAATGATGCTATAACTCTGATCTTCCTGTGGATTATACCAAAGTAAGCTTCCTGTGTTATAATCTCACTTCGTTCGCTTACCGGTGGGCCAGTGGTCTTTGGATTGTTTTCCCAGGGTACAACAGTTATGTCTTGGGCGCAGAGATTGTGGCTTCCCTTGAAAGCGCCGGGCCACGCCAGCGCGTTGGACGACCCAGGTCGTAGTCGGGATCTGTAGCGGGAACGGTATTTATGCAGGGGACTGTTACATGGCATGCCACGCGTGGAACATGAACCGCAGCCGACCTAAGCATCTTTGGATGTAATTATTCGACGAGTGACCTAGTCTGGAGGTAACGTTCAATGTTAGATATGTATTAGTTGGATTGCTAATGTAATAGAAAGGATTACGCATCGGGGTCCGGGCGACGACCGCACTAATGTGAAGCGCTGCACCCTTAGGCATAGAGGTATATCCTCAAGAGTGGACTGACTATCTTACCGAACATGTTCGAAGGACGAAGTATAATGGAGGGTATCCACCTAGTACAGTAGATAATAGACCGTAATGTCACCGCAAGGGTTTTTTAAACCATTGTCGAAGGGGATGGGAATTGCCCCGGACCATTGAAAGAGTCGAGTTCCTACATGTCACCGCCTGAATTGTCAGGCGGCCAATTCATCGTTAGATACTAGTCGATGATAGATTCAAATAGTAGCGGTAGTAGTATAAGGTGAGAAGGATCCACAACCAACGAATCCGTTTTCATACCTGGGACTATTTGAAGTTAAAGGAAAATAACTCACCAACCAATATGATACAGAGGATCCATTCTCCTGGGACCCAAGCTCAAGAATGTTTGGTTCACCCAATGATCGTCTCCGTATAGAAGTGAAAATGACACCCAGAAGACGGGGTTAAGGACGACCATTAAATCCAGACTCGATGATTACTCGCGACTTTTTTAGTTGCATTAAATCGGTACCAAGAGGAGTTTAGTCTCCAATTCCTTCTCCTCCGCTTTTTCGTTTTCCTTCTAATTTCTACAGAAGAATAATCCCTCAACTCTTCCCCTCCGGCGACGCCCGTAGTGAACCCGAGTCAGTGCCAGTTCAGAAACTCGGGGCCGTCGCCAACACAAAAAAACCATTAATAATCCTCCCCAGCATGACGACGGCTAGCAATGCCAAGCCGCCACCGACCGACCCTCAATCTTCCCCATACCCACCAGAAGCGACCGCCTCATCCCGCAATTTCGTCCCGTCATTCTCCCGAGAGCAGGACGAGATCTCTTGGACCTCTCCCCAATCGACTATCTCCGGCTTACCGAACGATGACCCGCGCCTGGCTCTTGGGGTACCTGCACCCGTCATGATCCCGCCCGAGTCCGACGAATCCCCCTTGGCCTCCTCCGCAGGCCTCACCTTGGGGCACGACGATATCGCCCTCCCCGACGATATCGACACGCAGAGCCGGGCCAGCTCGCGCGACCCCGGGAGCGTCCAAACCGGGGGCGATATCGGTAATATTCTGGAGGGCGGATACGACCATCACCCCGAGGACGGGAAGGGAGATTTCGTGTTGAATGGTGAGCAAAAGAACGAAAAACCGGCGTGGAGCGAAATGAAGACAAAGGCTGGGAAGGAGCGAAAGCGCCTACCTTTGGCGTGTATCGCATGTAGGAGGAAAAAGATTCGATGTTCGGGCGAGAAGCCCGCGTGCAAACACTGCTCGCGCTCTCGGATTCCCTGCGTATATAAAGTCACCACCCGGAAGGCAGCGCCCCGGACAGATTATATGGCCATGCTAGATAAGCGGTTAAAGAGAATGGAAGATCGCGTTATTAAGACTATCCCCAAGGAAGAGACAAGGGATATGGCAGCCATCGGACGATCAGTGGTCCGGCCTCCCCAGCCCGGGCAGGCCTCGAAGAGCCAGAAGAAGCGGACGGCCGACGAAGCTTTTGCGAATGAGATGGACGAGTGGGCTCGTGGAGAACGCAAAGCTTCGCTGGATATCTTCCCAATGCGCCGGGAAAGTAAGATCAACGATACAACCGGTTTGATGACTGAGGGAGCAGAATTTTTACCCTCGTTAGAGATTCAAGAACATCTGGCGGAAGTTTTCTTCGATTGTGTCTATGGGCAGTCTTATCTCCTGCTCCACAAACCTAGCTTCATGCGCCGATTGAAGGCCAGGACTGTTCCGCCAGCTTTGATCCTGGCTGTTTGCGCTGTATCGGCTCGATTCTCAACTCATCCACAGCTCAACTCCGAACCGCCTTTTCTGCGCGGAGAGAATTGGGCCAACCCTGCTGCTGCAATAGCTTTAAGCCGCCACGACGCACCCAACATTACTATTTTGACCGTCTTCCTGCTGCTGGGTCTTCATGAGTTCGGAACTTGTCATGGTGGTCGAAGTTGGTCTTTTGGGGGTCAGGCGTTGCGGATGGCTTATGCTCTGCAACTGCATAATGAACTCGATGAGGATCCGCTATTGAACCAGCCCAATGGTGGCGGGTCCCAGCTCAGCTTCACAGATCGAGAAATTAGAAGACGTACTATGTGGGCTTGCTTCATGATGGACCGTTATAACTCGTCTGGAAGTCAACGTCCCCCTATTGGAAACGAAAAATTTATACAGATACAGCTGCCGATCAAAGAGTCACATTTTCAGATGGAAATCCCGGGACCAACGGAGGATCTGGATGGAAATGTTCCTAATCCGGTTCCGGATGACGTTGGCCAATTGTCTAACGCTAAGGACAACATGGGAGTTTCTGCCTATATTATTCGCGCCATAGTATTATGGGGGCGTATCGTGGACTATCTAAATTTAGGAGGAAAGAAAAAGGATGTTCATCCACTGTGGTCACCCGAGTCAGGGTATACGCGCCTCAAACGACAAATTGAGGAGTTTTCTGCATCTCTTCCAAGCCATTTAGCATTCACTTATGAGAATCTCCAGATTCATGCGGCTGACAGGATCGCCAACCAGTTTCTCTTTCTGCATATAATCATTCACCAGAACATGCTATTCTTAAACCAGTTTGCCATTCCTCTATCGCCGGGAGGGCGACCCCCGAGGGATATGCCCAAGGCTTTCTTGAGCAACGCTGGACGGGCCGCGGTGGAGGCGGCCCACCATATCTCTGTGCTGATCGATCGCGCTTCAGCATACCCTCTTACCGTTCCATTTGCTGGGTATTGTGCATATTCAGCCAGCACAGTACATATCTGGGGTATCTTCTCCAAGAACTCCCAGCTCGAGGCTCGTTCGAAGGAGAACCTACGGCATACTTATAGATATTTAAACAAAATGAAGAAGTATTGGGGTATGTTCCACTACATGGTGGAAAGCGCTAAGGATCGATATCGGCAGTTTGCAGATGCTGCCATTAAGGGGTCGGTTGTCACCCAGAACGGCAGCCAGATCACCGCCATGTTTCAGTATGGTGACTGGTTCGACAAGTATCCTCACGGCGTGTCGAGGATGCATTGGGAAGACCCCAGCGCCCAAAAGACAAAGAAGAGTGATGAAGCCGTGATGAGCCAGAAGGCCGACCTTCAAAGCGTTGAGGACTTCTTTGCCAGTCTCTCCCCTACATCACAGCCCAGCGTGTCAGGCCGTCAGCATTCCAGGAAGGACAGCAGAGGCGAAAGTCTGTCTGATATGGGTCAGCCAACCTCTCAACCGATGGTTGATATAAACACTCCAGGGATGATGGGCACGCCTGGAGGCGGGTTCCCACAGCCCACACTGTTCAACCAGGGCCGTGGACAACTTTACGGCCAGTATCCATTCGACTTTCCCGTCCCAGCCGACCAACTACCCCAACTAGACCGACAGTTCGTCTACGGCTCCTTTGGTGGCCTCGATCCCTCCAACAGCTTCATGCCGCCAGACAATCCGCCCATCTCTACCGTGAACGGCGCAGAGCCGTCCCCGGCAGCAGCCCCAGACAACACCGCCATCTTCCCGGGCCAACTAGACCCCAACGCCCCCGCCGGAGTAGGCGAGTATTACCAACCAAGCGCCTGGTTCCTCCCCTTCAACCTAGACCCCGTCAGTGCAGGCGTCAACCTCGACCCAAGCCCCGCACAAGTCCCCGGCAGCGGAACCCCGGACATGTCGACCTTCAACGCGGGGAACATGCCCATGGGCACGTTTGACATGGGAATAGCGAGTGTGAATCGAGGACCTCACATGAACGAGTAGCGGGAGGGCACCGACGGCGCTCGATGTCAAATTTTAACGGCGGCATTTTGCTTTGTTTTTTTTTTGGTTTTCTTTCGGGATCCTCTTGGCGAGTTTTTGTTCGGCTTGTATGGGATGGTTTGGCAAAAGAGATGGTTGGAGTTTTATTATGATCTCTTGATATCTGTACGGTGGTTTTATGTGTATATTTTCCTGGGGTTTAGGGAATACTAATCTCTTCTGATGGGGTGGGTGTCTTTGTATTATTCTTATATCTTGGATGGGATCATGCCATGTGGCTCAGATGTGAGGTGTCCAGTTTGTGGGTAAGTTATTATCCTGTGTCAACTACGGAGTAGTTAAGAACATCATCTATCTAGGAGTATGTACATTCAACATCCAGTACGGGAAATACAAAGAAATAGACTTTCCACCATCTGTAGAAACCGAAACTCATATAATACAAGTTGGACTACTGGGTTCCAGAAGGGCGGAAGCAAAAACAAATACAAAAGGAAAAGTGCATCATCCGTGAATCGAACACGGGCCTCATCGATGGCAACGATGAATTCTACCACTAGACCAATGATGCTAGTTGGTGTCTTTTTCTCATTTTATTTGCATAATATCCTAAAAACCACTTCTGGAGCCTTGACTATAATCAAGAACTATAGCCGACTACTGCACTGAAAGACCAAGCCTGGAATATCTTAAATAACTCATTCTATGTCTGGACTGCTAGTTTAGGGAACCAAAATGGTATTGGTGCTTATGAGTGTCTGCTGTACATAGAAGTTGCCAGGTTCATTAATAGCTGTGCATATTTTACAGCTACGTAGTTTTGGGCGCTCATCAATTCGGTGGCATGTATGGTCTTCCCAGCATACAATGCGCAGCATCTTACGTTGTATCTTAACTTAGTACAGGTGGCTCCACACACCAGAATCGACTCCATAAATCAATGTGAGGCCTTGTCGACAGACGGAATGCTAAAGCGAATATCATATCCTTGTTTGGAAGCGAAGGAATCCATAGCGCCAATGACCCTTATTCGTAACAGTCCAGGAAAATCTTACATCCAACATGCAATACAGCGAAATCAGACATGACAATCATGTAACAGAACCGACACAGTGGAAAGCAAAAGCAAGGGAGATTGGGAAGATCATAAAATATCAGTCCTCCCATTCTTCGTCCAGTTGATCTATCAGTCGATTTTCGGCATCGACATCTCTTCCGGAATTTCTCCGCCCGCCGATCGCACTGATGAACCCGCCGCGCTGGCTGCCGCTGCGGGTGTGGCCGAGAGCCGGCGATCGTTTGAAACGGAACACGCGGCCTAAGGAGGAGCCGAGAATAGTGAACATGTCCTAGTTACGCTTGCTGGTTAGTGATGGTCCCCAATGGTCGTGTCATAGCTTAGGCATATGGGAAAGACACAAGAGGAAGGAACCCTGCTAAACAATAGAACTATTTAACGAAATCGTTGATGTCCAACATTCCAGGGCTAATCACAAGAGCAGATCCTGCTGCTGTACACAGAAAACAACAGTTTACCCATGTTCAACATAGGTCTATATGATTATATAGTAAACAAGAGATAGGAAGAACATAGACCAGATGCTGAAAGTACCGACTCCCTCGATGTAATTGAGCTCTAGACCAGCCAAAGCGGCGTTCAATCCATCCTCGAAATTGGTAGCTTCGCATAGTTGAACTCCTTGTAGGAACCTCGATCATGGCGGCGCGCTCTGGAATGAGCCCGCCGAAACGGTATCAATGCTAGTATACTTACTTTTACAAAGTCGAACATGCCCGCCCAGAGGCTGTAGTTCGGGCACTGTCTCCAACCGCGTTGGTGCATGACTGTCCGCTGATAAGCGCAGCCACCAACAAGGTACGCGACGACGGCGATCAATGCACTACAGGACAGTGTTAACCCTTTCTTATTTCCTTCATTAATGGCCCATGGGATAGGTAATACTCACATTACACCGAAAACACCGGCTGGGCCAAGGCCTTGGCCGTCGGCCGGGGCGACACCACCACAGGCGGCAGAGCTTCGGACTTCAAAGAAGTATGTGCACTGGTCCATAGTACCAACAAAGGACGCGGTCGCCTGATGTGCTGGAGCATCGCGATCGCAAAGGAACGACATAATTGTCGATTTGGTGCGCGAAGCATTTCCAATGAGTTCCCCAGCACACGGTGAGCCATCAGTGTAGTTCAGAACCAACTTGCGGCCCCGGAAAAATGGCTCAGACGCTTGTTGCCTAGGAACACGTCAGCCTGTGTTCCGTCTGATTCATGGCCATAACTCGCATACAACGTACCCGATAGAATATACCTTGCCCTCTTTCTCATAATATGCACTGACATTCTGCCATCTTGCGCGGTCGACCCCGACCACATCTTTGACATCCTCCACCACCGGAGCGCAAACGTTTATCGTGAAGTTTGCATGGTAGTCATGACCCTTGGCATGCCAGCTCTCATCGCGGACGTTTCCACGAAGCTTTTCGTCCTTCGTCTTCGGTGGGGATAGAGAGATTGAATTCAGATCGTAGTAGAGACCGGAGGTCGGAGAGCGTGCTACACAGGGCGGTAAGGCGTTTGAGCCCGTTGAATCTGAGGCAGCGTAAACGGAAGCATGGGGTGCTGAGAGAAGGAGGAGGAATCCAAGCAACGACGTAGCCAGCGACTTCATGATGGGAGATAAATCCCGCAGAGAGAAAGCGGGATGACTAGCGATAACAATGATATAATGGAAAGGGACCGAGATCGCCGAAGACAAATTTAGTAAGGAAAGAAAGTCCAATGAAATGTGGATAAAAGGGAAAAGAAGGAATTACGAACGAGAGTGAGTAATGGGGGAGGGAAGAGAAGGATAAGGACCGAGGAAGGATAGGATACGTAAGATGCCTGAATCTTGTGGTCGTTCTCCAACAATAGACTTGAATTGCGGAGTTAAGAAAACAAAAGGAACAAAAGGAACAAAACGCAAAAAGTGTCCGCGGCCCCCGTCGGCCACCAATCATCCGGCTCAGATGACCGACCTTCTTTCTTCAAGAAACACTCCCCTACCTACAGATAAATACCTCCTCCCTAGCCATTGAAGAAGCCCCACAGCTTCCTACCTCTTCTATAGTATTGTTGGTGGGTTTCTCTGGCATACGCGCGACCGGCGACATAAACCCTCTGTGGACTCCTCCCTCCCCAATTCAGTCGCATCATGGCGCCGAAGAAGAATTCCAAGATCAAAGTCCCGATACAGCCCGTTCCCGAGAAACGGGGCTATGAATTTTGTGGCCCGTATGTTGTTTCACGAGTGTCGCAGCCATGAACCTAGGAATTGACCTTCAACAGTCCCGGCGCGTTTGCATTTGTGATCTGCCTTCCGACTCTCATCTACGCTTTCACCTTCTTATGTAACGATGTTTCCGGTTGTCCTGCTCCCTCGCTGCTCAATCCTTCGACTTTGTCCCTGGACCAATTAAAGGTGGAGGTTGGCTGGCCACAAGATGACCTTAAAGGGTTCTTCGACGCTCGCGTAACTCTCTGGGTGTTGAGTTATTACCTCCTCAGCCTGGTCTTGTATGTGTTCCTACCTGGTCAGGAGGTTGAGGGTACAGAATTGGCCTGCACAGGAAGGCTTCGATACAAGTTCAATGGTATGGATCTGGTGTTGGATACTTGAATGATATCGGCTGACCCAATTTACAGCCTTCCCCTCCGCCGTGTTGATCCTCTCCGGTTTAGCTCTGGGCACCTACGTCTACGGTGCGGACTTCGCCGTGTGGACATTTCTTTGGGATAATTACGTGCAGGTCATTACGGCAAACCTGGTAATTTGCACAGCGATCGCGGTCTTTGTCTATGTGAGGAGCTTCTCCGTTCCTGCGCCTGGCCAACTCAACCCCGAACTTAGACAATTGGCACCTGGTGGCCACACTGGCAATGCTCTATATGATTTCTTCATTGGCCGGGAACTCAATCCTCGGGTGCAGCTGCCTATTCCTTTCGTCAGCGAAGCTTCACGGACGATTGACATCAAAGTATGGTGTGAGATGCGGCCCGGTTTGCTTGGGTGGAACATACTGAACTTGTCCAACATTGCCCGTCAGTACAGAACGTACGGCTATTTTACGGACTCGATCGTTCTTTCCACCGCATTCCAGCTCTTCTATGTTCTGGATGGATTGTATATGGAGCCAGCTGTCCTAACCACGATGGACGTGATCATGGATGGAATGGGTTTCATGCTCTCTTTCGGTGACATGGTTTGGGTCCCGTTCGTTTACAATTTCCAAACTAGGTACCTTGCGGTTTACCCCTTGGAGTTGGGTCTGAAGGGTATCCTGCTTATCTTGGCCGTAACTGGCGTGGGATACTCGATTTTCCGTGGCGCCAACAACCAGAAGAATCGATTCCGTACGGACCCCAATGACCCCCGTGTGAAGCAGATCAAATACATTGAAACAGCTAGTGGATCCAAGCTGATGATTTCTGGATGGTGGGGCATGGCGCGTCATATCAATTACTTGGGCGACTGGCTGATGTCGTGGGCGTATTCGCTGCCCACTGGATTTGCCGGCTATACTATTATTGAAAGTATCAACCAGACCGGCGACGTGCAGAAACAGGTCGTACAGACACCTGAGGTCCGTGGTTGGGGAATGGTGTACACCTACTTCTTCTTGATCTATTTTGGCGTCCTCTTAATTCATCGCGAGAGACGCGATGAAGAAAAGTGCAAGAGGAAGTACGGTGCTGATTGGAATCGCTATACGTCTATTGTCCGCAGTCGCATCATCCCTGGTATCTACTAGGCAGCGCCCGCGGTGTATTGTTGATTTCTGTTTCCGTGGAGTGAAAAAAAAAGTTCGTGATATGTTTGGGATAGACTCTGGATCCATTCCAGTCATTTCGTTCTATGTATTCATAATTATTACTTTTTTAATATATACATCAACTAGAGCTATGGTCATGATGTTCATTGCTATAAATTCCATGCATTGGATCAACGCTTCCGCTTCTTGGGATCAATCAGCACCTCCAACCCCCAATTCTCGTCCCCTGGATTAGGGACCCATCCACTCAACACTCGTCTGGCTTCTCGTATCGCACTTCTCCGTGCTTCGAGTGACTCAGTCAGAGCCGTAGGCTCTTTCTTGAATTCCCGATATGTCGGGGCCTCCGCAATCCGCTTCGTCACATCCAATCCCAGGGGCAACTGCCCTTCTTCCACACCGATCTCGACGCCAGATTCCTGGTCATGATCATCCACGCAAGATTGCACAATCTCTTTAGATAGGCCCCATAGCCTCGCCCTTGACAACGCAGAAGCACCCCGTGCCACAGGCTCCAACGCCCGATTCCCCTGTTTCACTCCATTGATAATGGTCTCATACAAACCCGTCCGAGAACCACGTAATTTAGGCAACGACTTAGCACCATTATCCACCACACTAGGAACCGCCACAGACGAAGCCGCCGCCCAAACAGCCGAAATAACCGCAGGTTTACTTTTCCTCGAAGCAGATGCCCCCATCGGATCCGACTTTCCAAACGCCCAAAGCTCCTCAACGAGCCCAGTAGGCACCGACAGGATCCTAAACGGTCGAAACCGCCATCCGTATCCTCGCTCTTCGACTGCCTTCTCACCCGCGGGGGTCCAAACCTTCCCCTTGAGCTCACTCATTCGTCCATCCTCCCCAAAGCACCTCTCACATCCAACCCGACTAATCTCCCCCTCAGGCATAATAACCCCCTCGAGATAGGCATTCCCCGTAGTGGCCACAAGCAAACTACTCTCAAACGACAACAGCGACGAAACCTGCCTCAGGGCCAACTTATCCGAACACGACTTACTCCGCGTAGCTTCGGCATCTGCGCGAGACGGCTTCCGCCGCACGATCCCCAGTCGCGAGAAATGCGCCCGGCCGTCTAGAAGCTCCCCATCCTCACCATCTGGTGTCGTCGTGGGAACTTCCCACGGCGTCGGATCTTCCTGGGCTGCCATGCAGAGTTCCATGCTTGCGTCTCCGCAGGGCGCACAGGTGCAGTACATGTAGATTTTCACGTCCGGTTCGAGTTCAAACGGCGGCAGTGTTGCCGTTGAGTCCTCGGGGCCTTGCCTTCGTCGGATATATGGAGAAAACGGCGCTTTCTCTTTCTCTTTCTCTTTCTCTTTCTCTTTCTCTTTCTCTTTCTCTTTCTCTTTCTCTTTCTCTTTCTCTTTCTCTTTCTCTTTCTCTTCCTCTTCCTCTTTTTCTTCCTCTTCCTCTTCCTCTTTCTCTTCCTTCTCCTTTGATGTATCATTCTCAAATGAGGACCTCTGGCTTCGTTCCTGAGCAATAAAACTCCGACACTCGGATAACAGCCAGTGATTGAATGCGCGAAGCGCGAGGATCTCAGCGTGCCAGTCATGGAGCACTAATCCTTTGCTTTTGGGGACTTGAGATGCTGAGAGACATTTTGCGCCGGATCTGCCTATCGTTAGTTATTTTTGCCTTGTAATTTTTCTTTCGCTCTCGGTAGAAAACTTAATAGATGAGTGAAACATACGTAACAGCCACACAAGTCAATTTTTCATCTGGTGTATCTTCCCCTAATAAAATCGGTGTCGTTAGATGAGTCTACACATTATACACCACAAAAAGCAAGCACAGAAAATAAAGAACCAAGAGATATAATTTCAAACAGAAATCAAAATAGAATCTACATACCCTTCACAATCACAATCCCCGACATAGGAATCCATTCCCTCGTCCCATCAGACCGAACATTAGGCTTACTCCGAGCAGGCAAGCCATCAAAATGCGCATGCACCAAACTCGCAATTCGACATGCTAACGGTACTTTCGTTTCTGAATCCTCCATCACCAGTTTCTAGATTCAGATCCCCTTACTCTATAACTAAACCTCAAAAAAAAAAAAAAAAAAAAAAAGACCAAAGAAAAGAGAAAAGACTCTGTGATGCTGCAAGACCACCACACAATCCCATACAATACCCCACAAAATCTCTTATATATATATATATATTCATCACGTGATCATATACAAACCATCCGATAAAGAAATCGCCGATAACCCAACCCCAACTCAAATCCAACCCCCAGAGAAACCAGAAACCAGAACAGCAACACATCTCCAACTCCAAGAAGAAAAAAAAAAAAAAGAAAAAACCACAGTGAATAAAAATCTACCAAAATGGCCGATAAGCTTCGCACGCTCCAGAACCTCGAGGCCATGCAGGCTCGGTACGTGGGTACGGGACACGCAGACACGACCAAGTACGAATGGACGTCGAACATCATCCGCGACAGCTACGCTTCGTATATTGGACATCCGCCGATGTTGTCATATATGGCTGTTGGAATGGGGGAGCCGAAGGAGAAGGTCCGGGCTATGTTTATTGAGAAGATGGTTAGGGGGGCTGGAAATCCGCCTGAGGTGAGTTTTCTCTTTCCTTTTATTTTTTTAGTTTTTCTCTGGGGGATTGGGGTGGGGTGGGGGATATGTTTATATTTATGTGTGGGTGTATGTGTGCTGATAGTTGGGACTTTTAGACGCAGGAGTGAATGGATTGCGCTTTGGGGGTTTGAATTTCATGGATGATTGTCTGTTGTGATCTTGTTATGATTATCGGCTGTGGTATCGAGGTTTACGGATGATGAATGCCCTCGGTGAGGCGAGAACTCTGCTTGATGGCTTGTGGGCTGAGTTTGGTATCAACGCTGATGCTGGGATTGAGTGGTTGGTACTGCTTGATGCCGGTTGACATGCGGTCCGTTTACAGTTGCCCTTGATCGCTTGGGAGTTATGGAGTATTTTAGACAGCTCGGTGGGATTAATTGGATGTATGAGCTGTACACTCTAGGCTGGACTTATTGTTTGGTTCATTACCATGTACTGTAATGATTCGAGGGCGTCGGTTGCATGGTTTTAGTGAAATGACTGAGTATGCATCCATATGGTGTCCGAATGAAACGACTCTTATACATATGCAAAACATAGCCATGCTAAATTTTTTAGTATATCAGAAAACTATATATACAGGTCAAGCTTCAAGCATCACTTTTCCGTCTTTCCAGCTGCCGCCGCCAAGTTTGTGTTCTCGGTTTGCAATGACGCGATCAACTCGAGCCATTGTCGTCGCTCGTTCCTAAGTCGCTCGAGCTCTTTCCTCAGATGTTCATTCTCATGGCGCAAGATATCAATCTCTGTTCGAGACTTCGATTTTTCTTCCTGGTCTGCTTGCTTCCGCTGTTTAGACTCGATCTTTGACGCCTCCTTGAGCTGATGCTTCTCAATCTTCCCTAGCTGCTTGAGGAGCTTGGATTCCTCGTTGAATAAGCCCGAAGCGACCTTGTGCATCTTCGCCGTGTCGCGGCTGCTTGTAGGATGGGCCAGGTTATTACTGCTCGACGAGCGACTTTCCGGCGTCTGTCGCTGGTTGCTGCTGCCCGCACTGGTGCTCACTTGATCACTGCTAGCGTCGGCGGTTGCCAAAGCAGCTGCAGATGCTTTGTCTCTCTTGGACCCTTCCTCACGGGACGGTAGATGGAGGGACCTGATGTCTTCTCGTACTCGGTCCAGCTGGGCCTCGACTTCACGCTTGCGCTGGGCTAGTTTAGCAAGCTGTTTCTCATGCGAGGTTAGCTTGCCGTCCTTCTTCTCTATCTTCATCAAGTCCACTGGCGGGATGTTGTGGTGTCCAGATTCGATGGGAGTGGCGAGGCCGGAGTTTATCGAGGACGCTTTATCCTGCGACAGTTGAGACCTTGTATCATCCTTGTCCTTTTCTGTTGCATCACTTCGCGGGACGGGATCCCCACTAGACCTGGGTGCTCTCTCTCCGTCCTCTGTAGAAACATCAGACCTATCTCCTGATGAATGGCGTGAGTGGCCTGGTATATAGTCCAGCACAGCCTGGGGGGCGTATCGCTCCAACCCAGCGTTGAGTAAATAGGCAAAGCTGGCAATGAGACCATGATGCTCCACCTCGGTATCCGAAAATTCAGAATCGCTGATCTCACTATCTTCAGTTTCTTGCACGCCGGCCGTATGCAGACTGTTTCTCCGTCTCCTTTGGCGACCATCGTCCATACCTGGCTCAGCAGGCGAATTGGGATCGCGACAAGCCCAGTCCAGAAACTTGACCGCATCCGAACAGATACTCTTAGGCGTTCCCTTCTCTACCATCCACCGAGGTATATTACCCCCGGGGTCACTTCTCGTCACCATAATCCACTCGACAGGGTTCGCCTCCTCAGCCCTCTCTTCCCCTTTACCATTACCTCCCTGCTTCTCTTTCGAAGCCGCCTCCACTTCCCCAATCCTAGACCCCTCAACCACACCCTGACCGTCACCATCACTTCCCCTCTTAACCGGGATCTCCCTAATAAACTCCACAGACTCATACTGCCCCCGAATATACCCCTGACACGGCGGCGCCTCAGCATGTTCAACGGGCTTCGAAACCATCATCCAAAACCGTCCCCCCTCCTCAACCCCAACCTCCCAACTAACAATCAGCGTGACAAAATCCCTCGGCGTCGTGGGCTTCGGAAACTGCGCAGAAACATGAAAAACAGTTACATGCGCCAACACCTTCTCCCCACTCTCATCCTTCACCTCAATAGTCTCGACCTGCTTCTCGGCCCCGATGCCACGGACCGACTGGTCGGGTGTCTGGCCCTGCTTCATGCGCTCGCGGTTCGCCTTCAGCGTCTCGGTCATCTCACTCGAGAGCTTCGCCTGCCATGTAGAGAAGGGGAGGCCCTCGTGGACGCTGCGACGACCGAACCAGTGGCCTTTGCCATCGCTGCCCGGAAGTTTGTGGATGTGGAGGTCGAGCGGGTTGTCTCTTGTACTGGAAACCTTGATGGGTTTGCTCCATTGTTGTTGGAGGGATTGGAGGGTTGGGTCTGTGGTGTTGAGTCTGGCGGGAGAGGGTTTGACGTGGTGGGTGGTAGTGGCGGTGGTTGATGGAGGGGGTTCTGGGACGGAGTTGACGATGAGGTGGGCTTTCGTGGAGAGGTCGTTGATGTAGGTGCGGAGGGCGGAGGGGTCAGTGGGCACTTCGTCCCAGGTTATTGGGGCAAGGCATTCGAGGGCTTCTTGGAGGGCGGCCATTTGATGTTTTCAGGGGTCGATCACCAGTGGAGGTCTGGGGGAGGTTTGGATGGCGTGGGAATGTATGTATGTATGTTATGTACAGTACTGTCGGTGTCTATCGAGGATTGATGTCGGTGGTGAGACTGATGATTGTCACCAACAGTAGTAGTAATTAAATTAATTAGATTAGATTGCAATTCAATCGGGTCGATATACACATAGATCAATGCAAAGCCTGTTCAAGGAAGTTCTCCGTCATGCCAGGCAGCGAAAGACCGGAGTTCAAGTTCCCCAGACACTGACGTCATTGGTTATCGGCACTTGAGCCAAGAAAAAGTCATGACCCTGAATAAGTATTATCATGAGTATTATGACTATTATGATTGCTTGTTATGATCATCTTATTAATACTAGTATGAGTTTATTCGTAGAATAATATAACTACTAGAAAAGAGATAAGATACTTGTGCTAGTCCTGCAATTTTTCAAATTATGTTATCCAGACTAGTTACATCATGCTCAAGTGTCAATGCATACGACAATAACGAGAGTCAAGGACAAAAGAATAGAACGAGGGACCCGCCTCAGCATGTGCAAGACTGTACCAGCATCCGATTCTCGTCCCTCACCTCTCACTCAATGAGAGGGGTTGGAACGAGCTTATCCAGGTATTCAGAACCCAGCCTGGAAGATAGGAGATGACCCTATAGACAAACACAGTCCACATGGCGAAAACAAATCAAAGAGAAATTGGTCCACTCGGGGAACTAAGTCTCATCAGGTCACAGACCCGACGGTCCTCAGCTACAACGGGCACCTGTCACAGACAGCCGTCCCGGGCCAACGAGTAATCCAACCTCCACTGTTCTGTCGACACCGATGTGGTCTGTGTTGCCAGAAAAACCTGCGAACGTAAAGATAACGTAACTTCGCAGCGCCGCGATCAATGCCTCTTCAATCTGACCTAGCAGATAACCAGTCCGGTAGCCTGTACCAGAAAGAGGATGTCCAGGACAGAGAAGGAGGGCTCTAGGCCCCGCCATAGCACCATCGATCAAGCTATCCTGGACAGACGCGGCGACGAAAGAAAATAAAAACGAGCGTTTCTCATCCAAATCATATCCCAAGCCGCGAGGCTAACCAGGTCTTTCATGACATATAAAACGGGATCTGAACAATGGGATATTCTCATGAAACAAAACAAAACAGATAGCCGACCCGCCGCTTCTTCATGCAAGAGAACAAAAACCGAAAGAATCAAGGAGAGACGAAACGCTAACGCTGGCTCGAAGAAAAGAGAAACAAACAAACACAAAGTAGTCACAATCGCAAAGAGAGAAGATATTATGTTCTTTGATGGTCATGCAAACGAAGTGGAGTATCATGGTCGCAGAATCGTCAATGGTAACGCCGTCACTGATGCCAATTAGTCTGTTGTCTGTATAGCGGGGGATATTGCTCCCGGTCGTTCTTGTGGGTGCGTCTCGGGCTCGAAGGGTACAAGCGAGCTAGATGTGGTTTGTCGACAGGGACTCCGGGATCTAAACCAAAAATACGGGAAGTCAGGGAGACCATCAACGTCAAGTGTCTGGTTCCATGGGCGTATTACATGGTTGTCCCGTACGGCAGCGCAAAGTCTTGGTATCGGTCCCCCCACCCAAATCCGATCATATTCGCCGCTGTGCTGCAGGGCTGTACCAACATGCTTGGCAATGGGAGTGCGGCAAGTGCGGCAGACGTGGCAGCGGTGCTATAATACTGCGTCGCATTGTAAGGCGAAGTAGTGTAGGGTTGGCTGTAGGACGGTGTCGGAGAAGCATAGGAGAACTCATTCATGTTGTTCAGACTGGTCCATATATTCGGATTAGAATCGCCTGTACTGGCCGTGGCTGGGCTGGATGGCAGTACTTTCCACGTGTCCATCGACACAGGCTGCTGCATAGGGTCGTGCCACCATGTCTCCGGACCAGTGGAACTGGGTAGAACAGGTGTCGACCGAAGCACGTCGACCACACGTGGAGGCGGAGGAAGCAACGGAACGAACAGGCTGGTGACCGCAGACTTTGCTTCCTCACTTCGGCCCCCCAGCAGCTCACCTGCACCGTCCTCCTCTAGCCCTTCAAGGGCCTGCGCGCTGGTGCGATAGACGAACTTGTTGGCAGCCTGGACAAACTCCTCCTGTAATTTCTTCAACTGGCTCTCCTTCTCAGACCAGTCCCAGGTACTCGCGGCAGTGTCAACGGAGTAAACTTCCTTGTGGAAGTCGACCAAAGCTTCGATTGTTTCCGGGGTCAGTTTGAATGCGACCTCATTTCGAGACACCATGTCAACATGCACTACGTAAGCCTCCACATGGATCATCTGGTAGTTGAAGAATGCCTCCGCCCAGGGGTTCTCGTCCCTTCGGAGCTCTGCTTCGGGGGCCTTGGGGAACATCATGGAGCAGAGGGTCCAGATAGCGTTTGGTGAGGACAAGGTTTCCGTCAGACACTTTGTATGTTGCGTCACATTGTTTAAAGGTCGCTTGACTCGACTGACTCGTTTCAATGTCGCTGTCAGCCATGGTTCGACTTTGGTGTTCAACACCACATTCGGTGAAGACCGCGGCGCAAAGGCAGCGGCCGACGACGGTAGTAGGACCGTTGGCATTGCGACTCTGCGATAATGATACTATATTGAAAAAGAAGGAACGAGAAACAAGAAATAAGAGGAAACAGGAAGAGCTATAAAAACGAAATAAAAAAAAGAAGGCACAACTTTCATAAAGGCGACATCCGCCCACAGTAAGTGGTTCTCCGATATAGTAGATGGTTCCAGCGGTAAGATGGGATCACTAGTTGAGAGCGGGCTCTAGTAGTATTTGACGAACGAAAATATTGGACTAGCGCCTGA